TTATTTTTTATTCTCCGATGAAAGTCTGAGAGCAGTGAGAAGATTGAATGTATGATTATAAAATTCTACCACTCTAAGCTCTGCTGGTTGAGATCTAGCGAGGTTGAGACAGCCAGGCATGCGTAGATTTTGAACTCATATTTTACGCGTTCCTCTGCATTCTCCGTAGTTTGAGCACTTTCAAGGTTGCTTGTACATTGGGCTGTCCACATGTCTATCATCGTGGCTCTATTTCAACATGGCTCTTGTCACCATGGCTCTTGTCGCCATGGCTCTTGTTGCCATGAGTCTTGTTTCCATGGCTCTTGTCGCAGTGGCTCTTGTGGCCATGGCACTTGTTGCCGTGGCAGGCAGTTCTGCTCGGTACATCAGCTTCAGTTACACCAATTCCCAGGAGGCATTATTGCCCAAAAAACTTGCTGTATGCAGCATTGTGCATTCCTATTTTTCTAGAGAAGAAGGCATTGCCTCGTCAGTGAGCACTGCTGTATGTATGCCATCGGAGCTATCCCTAGATCAACCTAACCGCATGTGTCTTTCTCACTTGCATGCCAAACTACAGCCTTGCAGACTGTTTTCAAGTTAATGTCTGTGAAAACCTATATTTTTTCAGAATAAAATCAATAAATTTTGCCGAGGGCCTTACGTTATTATGTTTCAGGGTCAATTTGACCAAAATGGAATGTTAAACCTAATTATGTCAATTTGAAAACTGTGTCGACTTCAGGTAATTTTGGCATCCAGAATCCAGCAACATACGTGAATGAAGAAGTCTTCGAGAGCAGCTCCACGAGCAAGCGCTCTGAACCTCGGCAGACATCACGCAGAGATCTTCTGGTAAGTTCTCTCGCAGTGCACATGCATCATGCATTGTGCAATCTCCACAATGCGGGCATCAAATACTAACTCGAAATGCCGTTGTTTATCTGGTAGACCTAATGGGAACAGAAGGAAATTAGACCACCTGCCGGCCTTGTATCAGACCCAACAGAAATCTTTCATAACATCAAAATCTGCCTGGTATTTAAACTTTGTTTCTGGATCATAAAAATTGATGCGGGAAGAACTGTGCAAGGAAGACAAGATGAACGCAGAATTCCATTGCTCACGAACTGTGCCTCGTTTTGGTACTGAAATGCACCTCATAATTGTGTTGCTGCTGATTGTGATGGAATAGGAGCATGATTTCATGTGTGTGTGTGTGTGTGTGTGTGTGTGTGTGTGTGTGCGTGTGCGTGTGCGTGTGCGTGTGCGTGTGCGTGTGCGTGTGTGTGTGTGTGTGTGTGTGTAGTGTTGTACGCCCACCATGGTTAGTTGGTAGACCCAGTTGTATAGTTGTACAGTTGTACAGTTGTACAGTTGTACAGGCCATGCATTCTACTATACATGCCTGCAGCAATAGAGTGTGTTCGATAGTTGTGTTACAGTACATATTAAATCCCTATAAGGGATTCTAGCACCAGCTTACCATCACAAATTCTGCCTAACATTGATTTGTCTTCTCCTCGTATGTATAGGTTTGTTTGTGCTTGTATTGTGACTTTCCGAACAAAACTACATTTTTGGATTGTGTCCACCGTTATATTCTGTTGTTTCCTACCAGTCGAATATGGAGGAGAGTGCATTTCAAGGCTCTGCAGGAGATGATAGCAAAGGCAGCGTACGTGTACCTAGTCGACTCAGTCATACGGTCAGGAGAGAAACAAGTACGGTCGGCAGTGTACGTGGTCCTCAGCACTCTATTGCTGAGAACAGTGGTGATGGTGGTGGATATGCTCGGCTAGGCACAGGAGAACGTCGTAGACAAGGTGGTGATGGTGGTGCTGCTGAGGCTCGTGATGATGGTGGTGATGGTGGTGGATATGCTCGGCTGGGCACAGGAGAACGTCAAAGACAACCTGGTGGTGATGGTGGTGGATATGCTCGGCTAGGCACAGGAGAACGTCAAGGACAACCTGGTGGTGATGGTGGTGCTGCTGAGGCTGGTGATGATAGTGGATATGCTCGGCTAGGTACTGGAGAACGCCCTAGACCCGCTGCACCCAGATCATTTAGAGGTTCAACAATCCGTGGATCCGATGATATTTATGTGAGTAATATTTTAGCTAGTGCCATGTCTGTGTGCTTCTCCAGTCATCATTTATACAAGACAGAAGAACGAGCAGTTGCTGTTTTGTAACTTTTGCCTGATGGTTGATTCAGGTCGCGAAGCTCAGAGTTGCAAAACGAAGAATGTTCGTTCTTCTGTCTATAAATTCCGCTCTTTCCCTTTGAGGCCTCTACGAACGGTGGATGAACTTCACATGATCATCATCTGTAGTACATTTTGTTACTCCACATGCCGACGGGGCTTGGTGACACTGCTGCTGTTCCCACTTCTCCTGTTGCTACAACCATCACTGCTACTGCTACTGCTACTACTGGTGGTGCTGATGCTGGTGGTGCTGATGCTGGTGGTGCTGCTGCTGGTGGTGCTGCTGCTGGTGGTGCTGCTGCTGGTGGTGCTGATGCTGCCACCTCTGCCGCTGCTGGTGACTCTTGAGTTGGTGGTGGCGGCGGCAGTGCTGCTGCTCCTGTTACCATCGCCATCGCTTCTGCTGCTCATCCTGTTGTTGTTGTTTTTGCTGCTGCTGCTGGTGCTATTACTGTTGCTGTCACTGCTGCTGTAGTTAATGTTTGAAGTAAAGGTCAATGATATATTGCTGTGGTAGTTGAAAGCAGCAAGACTTCCATTTCAGCAGTTACAGTGGTACTAACGGTCATGACATATATACCTCAGCATGTATTGTATTAAAGATGATGGAATTGATGATCTAGGCTACAGGGATCCATTGTTGATGATATCGGTTAGTCACTGTTCGATATCTTATCACTGTTCTTGTTCATGTACTTTCCCGGCACCTCTAGGATACTCTCAGGCTGAACATTGACCCGACAGCACCTGTTGTTGACCCACCGGAAGATGTAGAAGATCTGTATTCCCATCTTCAAGCGCCGCAGCAATACAGGCAACTACTGCGTCAAGACGTCAAGCTTGGACAACGGCTTGGCTCCGGGTAAGGACAGAAGCTGTTTTGGACTGTGCAAACAATACTATATTGTCCTTTGTCGAAATTCGCTGAGTACTGTAAAAGCCATATATATAACGAAGTGCTAACTCTAACGAGTTAACGAGTAGAAATCTGTCGTTAAAATAGAAATCATTATACAGAAATCGATACATATACCGTTCTATTGAGCGTTGAGAATATGTAAGAATCGTTACCTTTGGTACGCGTAAACCAGTCAATTTTGGGAAATCGTTTATATATGCGCCTCGTTAGAATAATGGCTTTTACAGTACTGTAGATCTCAATGGTGTGTGCAACACAAGATTGCATGGCTTGTACGTGGGCACAATGCTAGGCTCTATCTTCTAGCCATAGCTGATCTTAAAAGTGGCTTCAGTGTCTTGTGGGGCTACAGCCAACACAATGGTGCTGTATCATCTATGTGCCTTTATGACGTGATTTGTAAGGCCGCGGTCAAATTTCTCAACAAACTTCAGTACAACTCGCTGAATCTGTCTACTGACCGCAAAATTATTCTCAGTTGTCATGAACATGTACTTGAGACCAGTAAAACAAGCCTCCATGTGTGCTTTAATCCTTGAGGATATAGTGGTGGTTGTCCTGTGGATGTGTGGGAGGGGGCCTTCTCCCCGCCGCAACAGCAAAGTCAAGCTAGTCAACTGCAGCCATGTGATGTCTCAGCCTGAGTGCGAAGTTGGTTGTATTTATTTTATGGTAACAATCTCATCTATCTTGCCTATGCCGTTTCTAATTTGACTGTTTCTTGTGTTGTTTCTGTCTGCTGTACTGTGTGCTGTGGTGCCCTTACTTTAGGGAGTTTGGAGTTGTACTGCGAGGTGACTGGACTGTTGTAAGCTATTGAATGAACTTGTTTATGAGATGTTACTGTGTTAAGGGGGGGACACTTTAGTGTTCGTAAGTGTGTTGGGGGGGGGGGGGGGGAGGTTTGCGTGTGTGTTGGGGGGGGGGGGGTATAGGTTTGCGTGTGTGTTTGGGGTGGGGTGGGAGGGGGGGGGGGAGAGGAGCGGTGGAGGGAGCAGAGAGGATTGTCACCGTCTTTGGTGCTGTGTGTCTCACTATAATCATTAACTCTGACCTGGTCATCCATACAGGGTGTTGGCGTTCCTACGGATGCGGAAAACCCGTATTCAGCCGAGTCTCGCGCGAACCGTGATTTTTTGGCCTGGTTTTATTTCAACCATGTTCACCCTCACATCTCTGCTGCAGTACTAGGACAATGCGTCCAGAGAGGGTGATGAAAGAGGATGCGGAGATTTCGTGCGTGATTGATTAGCTGAGGAAACTTCCCCTGTGACTGTAGACATGTGTGATATTGGATTACAGTGGCATTGTGATTGCTCTCAGGGGAATTAACAGCAGTGGTCTAACCAAACGGGTGAAGGGAGTGTGCGTGCTCTCAGGTTGGGGGGGGGGGGGTGCCCCCCCCCCAACCTGAGAGCACACCACCATACTCTTTTTTTCTTTTTTCGATTTTGTGCTTTTCAGTTCACACATTTTGCAGCATGGAAAAATAGCTTAATGTTTGTCCCCCCCCCCCCCCCAGCCCTGCCCTCCCCTACATTTTTTCCTTGCTACAACCATGTAACAGTATGTTGTTAATGTGAAATGCTCTCCTACTAAATGTTCACATTGTTTGTTGTCACTACTGTACAGGGAACTACCGAGATACCAGTAGCCGTGAAAGTTTTAAAGGACACCAGATTGGAGGCACGCAAATCCCTCCTGCAAGAAGCCGCATTGATGGGACAGTTTTTCCATGGCAACGTGGTCAAACTATGTGGTGTTGTTACTGCCAGTGAACCAGTACGTATTGCCATAGTGATGCTATAGTGCGTTTCAAAAGTATAGACCTCTAGACTTTTTCGAATAATTCAAATTTGGTTTGAACTTTTTGAGAAATTTCTTCGGAATATTGCTCAGGCAGCTCACGCAATTTTTCTCATGTAAATTTCTAAGCGATTGGATAGCAGACACCCAATTTCGAAAATATTATGCACAAAGTGATCACAGATTTTATGTGGTGTAGATGCTGGCCTAACGGTTTTTTGAAAGCAGAGGTCTGGACTTTTCAAACGCACTATAGTTTTTTATATGTTAAAGGGGAAGTTAAGGCAAAAATTAAAATTTCACCAGTTGTAGTCTTCGGGGTGCTGAGTCGAATGGTCTTGGTCCGAGGAAGCTGAGACGCTCCCTTCCTACTTGAATCCCAATCGAACTCGCGCACTTCCACCGAAACTGGGTGACTGCGCCCTACGAGATGGGGATTTGTATGCAAAATGTCACTAAAAGCGCCATTTCGTTCTTATAAAAGCACGGATGACCGCGATTGGCCCATATGTTGTAGTCTTTTGGACGCTGAGTCGACTGGTTTTGGTCCGAAAAGGCTGCGATGCAGCGTTCCTCCTTTATTCCCAATCGAACATGGTTGAACAAGTGGTCACGTGCTCCTGGGTGCCCAAATCACCTGGTCACCACGCCAGCAGGTGAGAACTTTCACACCAAGGTTCAACTCGAGTTCAACTCGAGTGACAGGACTGCACCCAAAAAAGGTCAAACAGGCTAGTAAGTTGTACCCTGCAGGCACGGTGACCAGGTGACTGGTGTACGCAGGAGCACGTGACCGCTTGTTTAACCATGTTCGATTGGGAATAAAGGCGGAACGCTGCATCGCAGCCTTTTCGGACCAAAACCAGTCGACTCAGCGTCCAAAAGACTACAACATATGGGCCAATCGCGGTCATCCGTGCTTTTATAAGAACGAAATGGCGCTTTTAGTGACATTTTGCATACAAATCCCCATCTCGTAGGGCGCAGTCACCCAGTTTCGGTGGAAGTGCGCGAGTTCGATTGGGATTCAAGTAGGAAGGGAGCGTCTCAGCTTCCTCGGACCAAGACCATTCGACTCAGCACCCGGAAGACTACAACTGGTGAAATTTTAATTTTTGCCTTAACTTCCCCTTTAACATGTAGCGCAGTGTTACTTTTTTTTTTTTTTTTTTTTTTTAATTTCGGCCAGTCGGCTACTATCATTTTCGTCTTGGGGGCTAGACAAGGGGAAGTAGCCATGTCGGGGCGTGAGCCCGCCTTTCGGCACCGGGAGTTGCAGCTCGCTCGACTTGACTCTACTGAGTGCAGAGGACCCACACCTTGATCTGGTGAGCTGCGTCGTGGGGATTTTGCAGTCAGATGTGCGACTGCGGGGCTCGAACCCGCGACCTCTCGGGTCGCAGGCAAGTGCAGTACCCAATGTACTACCGGGGAGCTTTTAAATCGGTGTTGCACAAGAATCAGGTAGATCAATGTGTTTTTTCCTGCTGAGTTTCACGTCCTGTTTTCCGCAGCAGCGATATCCCAAGAAAATGAGTTGTGTCCTGATTCTATTTGAGTCAGAAGAACGATTTGATTCTGGGTGAGATCCTCTGTGTTTTGGGGTGTATGTTTCTTTGTTAGATGTGTTCGACAATGTATGCGACAATGTGTGTGTGTGTGTGTGTGTGTGTGTGTGTGTGTGTGTGTGTGTGTGTGTGTGTGTGTGTGCATGCTTGCGTGTGCTTGCGTGTGTGTGTGTGTGTGTGTGTGTGTGTGTGTGTGTGTCTGTGTGTGTGTGTGTGTGTGTGTGTGTGTGTGTGTGTGTGTGTGTGTGTGTGTGTGTGTATGTGCATATGTGCATGTGTATGTATATTTTTGTTGATTGTTCAGGTACTGGTTGTACTGGAGTACATGGCTAGAGGTGACCTGCGGAATTATCTTCTCTCCATACAACCAGAGTAAATGCTGTAATGTCTGACTGGGTCTGATACAGTAGTATGCTAAGCAAAGATAATCAATGATGCGGCGATGTCTGTGGGTTTTCCGCCACGAGATTTGATTCGGCGAGTGCATGACCTCATACAGTACTGTGTGTCATGCAGTCTGTGTGTCATGCAGTCTGTGTGTCATGCAGTCTGTGTGTCATGCAGTCTGTGTGTCATGCAGTCTGTGTGTCATGCAGTCTGTGTGTCATGCAGTCTGTGTGTCATGCAGTCTGTGTGTCATGCAGTCTGTGTGTCATGCACTACTGTATGTCATGGACTACCATGCTACACTGGGCCAGCTATCTAGTGCTGGCTGACTGCTATCTATCCCCGCACCTCCCCGCTTGCATTCAATCAACGTGATGCTCATCAAGCTGTGACACACATTAAAGATCTTTTATGGATGTTTTTATGTACAATGTATATGGCCATTGCGAGACGGACAGTACGAAATATATGTGCTGTGCGTGTGTGCTGTGCATGTGTGTGTCTACAGCCCTGGACAGTTGGTTGATGATGACATGCTCACTAAGCTATACAGACACTGCAGACAGATTGCCGACGGCATGGCGTATTTGGAGAACCGTCAGTTTGTACACAGAGTAAGTGCACATGTGTAAAGTGCATTACAGGGCTGGCGTTACTGGTACGGCGGGTACAACCATAGCCATGCAAGGTTTTACTCAGTCCAGTGTTCAGGCAATGTCCAATGAGTGCGTTCGATTATGCCCGCGAATCCATTCATGAATCCATTCATGAATCGATTCGCGCTATTCACATCACCCCATGTGAATAAGATGAATGGATTGCGAATGGATTCCAGGGCTCATGACATGAAATCGAACAGCGAGATTCCATTCATGAATCGATTCAAGTGCGTAATCGAACGCAGCCAGTGTACAATTAAGCGTGTGGAGGTACGATTAAGCTATCCTTGCCGTACACTCCTCTCTAGGGTCTCTCCCTCCTAAACTGCCAGTTTATCCAGTGTAGACTACATGTACTGTGTTAGCTGTATGTCTGTTGCCAGTGGAGTGTGCAGCTGAAACAGCTGAATATGAAGAGCTAGAGATGCACCTTTCTGTGCTGCTGAAATAGAGCATGGGGACGCCCCCGCCCCCCCCCCCCCCCCCCCCCGCCTAAACCTGCCACTGCTAGTCATTTTGAATTGCAGTTTTTGAATTGCAGGTTCTGAATGGAGAAATGCCGGTGCAGCTCTGCAGACTAGTATCCATGCCCATAGCTTCCAGGTGTCACTGTACACAGTGTGTGGTGTGTGTGATTCTAGCAGTTCTCTCTACTTGTAGGGTCTGCGTGGGTGAGAAATACACATACAGCTTATCGAGCTGTTACTCCATTGTTCTGTGTAAGCACCATACAATTACCTGTATGCGTGCACTCTGTGTGTGGGCACATGCATGTGTGCGTGTGTGTGTGTATGTGTGTGTGTATGTGTGTGTGTGTGTGTGTGTGTGTGTGTGTGTGTGTGTGTGTGTGTGTGTGTGTGTGTGTGTGTGTGTGTGTGTGTGCGTGTGTGTGCGTGTGTGTGTGTGTGCGTGTGTGTGTGCATGTGCGTGTGTGTGTGTGTGTGTGGTGATGGCGTGTTTGTGTTGTTATTGTATTACAACTAGGACCTTGCTGCTCGTAATGTCATGATGGACTCACACAAGATATGCAAAGTAAGTACAATGCACATATATGTGTTAGTGCTGGCGGAATGCAGTGGTTGTAGAAATCCAAAGGATGAACTCACTCATAACATGATGTATGAATCCCATGTTCAGAGAACTTTCCTTTGAATCTGGACATGTACTGATATGCTTGCAAGCACTGCGATAATGCAGCGTATGCACCACTGAAACCATTAAACCTTTGGCTCTTTCTATTGAGGGAGAATGCATGGAAAGTGGTGTGGCTTAAAGCTACATGTAACACTATTTCCAAGGGACTCGGGTGATGGCGCTGCTGTGGATGACAGCTGCTTGTGTGTGTTGTCTCCTTTGTGTTGTCTTGGGTGTGCACTATGCAGTGTCTCTCACTACCTCTCCACACACTCTTATACATGTTGCACGCCCTCTTAGTTTCATTATGGACGGGGTTGTTTGGCTCAATTCACTTCATTTATCCAGTGGTCTTTAGAAATGAACAGTCATTTTTGTTAATCAGGTAGCCTGAAAGCTGATATCGTTGCTGTATGATGTAGCTTACAGTGGGATGGTAGAATACTGGAGGATCTGAAAGGATTTTCCAGTCTGTTTGTCGAAGTTTCCCTGCTCATACTTGAAGCAGGAGTATCAGAGAAATGCAGAAAAACATGGCCAGACTTGTGACCAAAACTTGGTCAGCCACAGCTGGACTCTTTAATGTGATCATAAGGCAGCAGCTGTTGGAAGAGGGATCTCGAGGAAACACTTCTACTAGATGCAGTTTGTCTTCTCCTGTTTTTCTTGAACAAATTCCAGGTGACAGAGATTGTTTTGAGATCATTGGTCTGTGTGTTTGTCCCTTCTGGAAGTGAACAAACTGCATGCAACTCTTGTCCTGCATGACTGAAATCCTTGAAAACCTAAGCAAATTCGTCATATGTGGAGTCCTTGGTTGTGTGTTGTTACTACAGATTGGAGACTTTGGTATGTCACGTCGACTAGCTGATGATACTTACTACCAATCTCATGGTGGCAAGATACCTTTCAAGTGGACTGCTCCTGAAGTGAGTTTAGCCTGCTTGCTTTTGATGTGATTTACTGCTGTTACGCTTTCCAACGGCCATAAGAGAGTTGGAAAGCACGTGTCTTTGTGCGTAGCCATGCCAATCATGGTGGTTTGGTGCGAGTCTGCGCAAAGCAGACACAGCCCAACGTGTTCGTCACTTCGCAGTGGCCCACTTCCCTGATGGGATCAGACTTTGCCATTGCCAGCCACAGTCACTGGCTATGCAACTCTGTTGTTGTTTGCTGTGTTGTACGGGCGGAGCACAAAGGCGCTTGTCTTTGCTGGTGCCGGAGGTGCTTGAAGTACTGCCTCTAATGCTTCGGTTCTACATTGTCCTGGTGTTTGCTGCCAGTGTGGTTTAGCTTTTGATGCTGTCACTGGTGGTGTGCTTATTTTGTCTGTTGTTGCCGTCATGTCTGATGACAATTAGGTATATCCTGGGCAAAATGAACAAGAAACACATGGTCTTCTCACTCTCCCCCCCCCCCCCTCCATCAGTTTAGTGAATACGTTCTACATTAGAATACACTTGAGCATGCTGAAGGCTGGGATGGGAATAGACATTGTGAGTTTGTTGTTGGTGGAGAATTAAAAAACATTCATTGTGTGTATGCACTGACCTTCATGTTGTCCTGTACTACACAGGCTCTGCTGTACCGCAAGTTTTCCTCGGCAAGTGACGTGTGGAGCTTTGGTGTCGTTATGTTCGAGATCTATGCCTTCGGGAAGAAACCTTTCTTTGGCATGACACCGGACAAGGTGAGCATTCTTTCCAGTTTTGTGTTGATGATAAGGTGTGGAGTCAGTGTGACATGTGACAGCTCTATACTCGCTGTAACGTTAATGAGTAGTCCAATACCTGACATTGTTCAAGTACATTAAGTCTGGTTTCACACCGCTCAAAGGAGATTGATATGACTTCGATATATTTCTTGTTTGCAACTGCAAAGTGCAAGAGATAGAGAGAGGGAAACAGTTGCAAGATGCTAAATACGGGGTCTGGGTAGCTATGGCAAATAGGGATGATAAGCGCGAATGCAGCTACCCAGGCCAACGCATATCACGGGAAAGCGGGATCATGTGCGGGGTGAGTGCGGGTTCAAACGATTCGAGAATCGGGGAGCGGGAAAAGGTGCGAAAGGTCATTGGAGTGCGAGTGCGTGTGTGGTGTGAGAACCTAACGAATACAAGATTGAAGTGAAGAGTTTCAATGCAAAGTTCGACATGTCCACTTCCTCACTTTTCGGATATTGACCAAAAACGGAATCATTTTTATGTGCAGTTTGTTTCTAAATCCATATTTGACCTCCATTTTTAAAGTGGTTCTGGTCAGATTTTGAATGTAAAAAATTGTTTTGCCTGAAGGTGCCTCTAAACCTATTGATTTCACTGATGCACGGACACCTGCATGTATGTGTAGGATGACTGGTACATGTCATTCATGGTCATTATGTGTATTCTGGACCTAGGGCAACATTTGGGGGGCACGTGCCCCCCCCCCCCCCCCCCTGCGAGCTTTGCGCCTGCTGGGCCTACACTCTACCTTATTGGCCGCTGTCTCTCTTCCACATTTTGGTCACTCACCTCAGAATTGGCTGTATATTATTAATTTTTCTTTTCTTGGTCTACTTTTGTGCAGGTGATCAGGCTTATCGAGGAGAAAGGTCGTTCTGCCACCTCCACCAGGCTGTCCCCTGTGCCAATTAACAGACAGATGATAGAGTGCTGGTAAGATGTTTTATCTTGCCTGTAGTACTGTCGTGGACATGGAAATCCGGTCGAATGACCGGGGCCGGCGCCTCAGCGCGTACAGAACGTTGCATGTAGTGCACATGTCATGTTGATCCGGCGCGACCAGCCCGCTGCAGCACATAAATGACTGTGTGCTTACTCACAACTGCATGGCTCTGGGTCGCTAGACGTGCGACCGGATTTCCATGTCCACGACAGTTTGTTGGTTGGGTTCGCTCTTGGTAAGCAGGGTCATTTGTGAGATCTGTATGAGCTGTGAGACGCGCGCGCGCGTGTGTGTGTGTGTGTGTGCTTGGCTCAACTTTTGCGATGCGACAAGCGATTTGGCGTACGATTTGCCAGCTAGTTCGGTTTGGTGGGTAAACTTATGCCTGATTGTGTTGGGTCTGCTGCCAACAGGCTCGGCTGCTTGAAGGTGTATTGTTGTATCTGCCACCTTTGTTGGTTTCAGGGTTCATATACTTTCTATTTGAAGTATACATACCTACCTGTTAACCATGGACTGCTTCTGGCTAGATTAACTCTTGTGTAATCAATGGTGCTAGTAAAGATTATAATTATCAGATCCACTCTGATTTAGCCACCCACACTAGTAGCAAGTGTTCCCTTCACTGGGGGAAGGAGTAAGTGCAGTTGGATCCCTGGACGGATACCCTGATGCCGTCAATCTTTTTTCTGCACCTTGTCCTCACCCACTTACTGAGGTGTGGTGAGCCCATAAGTGGGATTATTTTCAAGTCCACCCAGAGTTTTGGGGATTTCAGGGGGTGTCGGCCGTTGGGCGGTTCAATAGCCAATTGAGTCATCTTTCCAAGATTCCTTTTGAGTCTCTCTCCCCTCTCCCGGGGAGATCCACGCGACCAGTTTTGACAGTGAGCAACTTGCCCTGGACTGTGTGACAATGCTGTAGAAAGTAAGGACGCAACCGCTGTGATTATAGTATTCAGTTCTCTGTTTAGGATCAGTGGGCTCCTTTTACCTCTTTTTGGAAAGTTTTCCCACCATCTCAAGGTGGGATGTACTGTATAGCAGGAAATTTTCGGACGGGAATATTTTTCGGATAAAGCCGAGTTTCTACCTTTCGTACGGATTTTATTTTCGTACAGTGCTGCATGCTAAATGCACATGTTTGCATGCAGTACGCATGTATAGTGTACATAATTTCCCATGAACAAATTTTAGTACGGAATTAATTTTGGTACAAAAGAGGCCGTGTACGAAATCGTCCGAAAATTTATTCCGTCCGAATATATACAGTATTAGGTATGTGTCCATGCTGTTCACATGTGTTCTCAGACATAATGACATTGTTTGCTTGTGTATGTATGTGCTGCACATGTACATGCATTGGATGCGCTTGCTTGTTTTGTCCCGTGTAGGCATCCGACTAGCCGCAGTCGTCCTCTCTTCACCACCATTGCCAAGCGTTTGCAGCGAAGTCAACAAGAATTCACGAAACCCGCTGTTCTGGATAGCGATTCCACTCTGGACCGCACCGCTGCACAGGAAGAGCAGAGTCGCCTGGCCACAGTTCTTGGTGTTCGCTTGGTGTACGGTGAGCCGCTCTACAGGGACTTACAGAACTGTTACAGAACTCTGAGTAGGCAGTAACAGTTAGCATTGCTGCGGTGTGCCAGTCGCAAAATGTGGACACGGAAGCCTGTATGAGTGTTTAATGTGTACGGTGAACCGTACGGGCCGATTTCCACTTTCCAATATTGTTTTGCCACGCCAAATGCAACATATATGGGGCGAATCCCTGACTTCACCCCAGACAAATGTGCCTTTATGAACCATCTATGCATGAAAAACACGAAAATCGGAAAGTGAGTAGGGGGGGGGGGGGCGGCAATTTTTCACAGGGGGGCGCTGCGCCCCCTTTGGCTAGAACCCTGCGTTAGTGCAAATTGGCAGATACTAATTCTAAAGGAAATGTCTTTTTTTCAACAGTGCCGAATACTCCGTAGTATTTTGTCATTTAATAATTGCAGAGAATTTGTAGTTTTCAGTAATGACTGAAGAAAGACCTCCATCCAATATTTTGTTAATTTCTTGAGAACATACTAGGAGCAGTGTATTCTGCCATAAGATACATGTAGGCCTACTCATAATTTAATGAGGTAATGAGGTCCCCGTTAATAAGGTAGAATTAGTTAGTTGGTTAGTGATTTTTTTGGTATTTGATTCGCAGTTCGTGTAAGAAAGATGTAATGTAGAATAGTAGTGTGTATGTTTGTTTCGAAGAAATTATATTTTTTATCTATCCCAGTTTACTGATTTGAACTATAATCCTCTACTGCATGCGTATAACTCCCAGAATATTTATAGTGTCAATTTTTGCAATATCAGAGCAATTTCCTAGCCCATTTTGGTATTGAAATTCCAGATTTAGATGTAGATATTTATTTTTACAAAAGTATGCGTACGTGTGATGATTGCATGGGGAGTTGTCATGGCTGGAATTTAGTCGGCCGATTTCAAGTCGGGTACGGAGCATAAGGCCTGGTGTGAGCCAGGCACAAGTAGCAATCAACTCCACTCTGATCAGTGATCGACATACATCATACTGTAGAACATGATTGTCACAGGTGCCTCTTTTTTATAAGTAAAGATGACCTACAGACTGCAGACCACCTCCACAATACGACCACGAAAGGATGAGATGGTGGGGCGCTCTGGCGGTACTTTACGGTATTCGTAAACAATGCATTCACGAAATTGACATTGTGTCGCTTTTTGAGTTTGGCCTTTGGTCTGTTATTGTGCAAATTTTCTTTGTTAATTTTAAAAGCATCAATTACATTGAGCATTCCCCGTTATTTATGATGAATTAGGTAACTAGGTTTTTTGCTTTGTCGTTTACAATGTAAAATTCATAGTTTATCATGAAGCTGTAACATATCGTAGATCCATTGAAGATAACCATAAAATCTAAATTAACCTTTATCACCTTTGTCACGCTCGTATCATAGCCAGTTTTGAACTTTCGAAATCTGTCCTGCTGAACAGCTGAACTAATTACTTATCATTTCCTTGGCGCATTGATGTACATGGATGCGTGTGAGTGTGTGCGCATGAGTGTATGTGTATGTGTGTGTGTCTGTGTGCGTGTACGTGTGCGTCGGTCGTTCTATTCCGTTGTGATCCGTGTGGTGTTGACGAGGTTTGCATTTGGGGTTCCATAGACATGACTTCACCCATTGCTTGGATCTGGCATATTGATCTGTTTCAGATCTTGTACGCTATTGTTGCTAAGTATAAGACAAAATCAGCAAGAGAGCACATATCAAGTGCAATTGCAGATTTGTGTGCTTCTCTTGCGATGGGCGTACATCCTTTTTAAATTGTGTTTTGTTTGTGTGTGTGCGCGCGCTGGTGCACGTGCATACACGTGTGTATGTGTGTGTGTGTTTGTGCAGGCATGTGTGTGGTGTTATTGTGTGTGGCGTGGCATGTGTCTGTTTGTGTATGCGCGCACGCGTGTGTGTGTGTCATAAAAAATCAGTGGGGTGAATCTCACCCACAACCCATCGCATGGTACCCGCCACAAACAACCTTACTACACCACAGGCACAGGTGCTAGACTGCCAGTGCCAGTAGGTCTTCAGATGATAATTACTTTGAAGCATGTGCTAGTTTTCCCACTCACACACACACACACATGCGCATAGTTAATTCTGCCGTCGTGAGTCTCATTCGCCAATTCGGGATGGATACGAGAATAATAACAATAACTAAGTGCTAGCGCAAGGTAGCGCAGCGGGGCAAATGATTGAAATCTCTGCTACTACTAGTTCAGTAGTAGTAGATCTACACGATTGTAGTAATATCCGACACATCGACCCCCCCCCCCCCCCCCCCCCTCCCACCCTTTAACCATTTACTGGCTTTAGCCTTTACTTGCGAGTAATAGTATCAATACTAGCGCTGTATGTATGACCATGAGCGGTGTCAGCTGCCAAGTAAAGGCCGAGATAAGGACATGATAAGGACATGATACGAAAGCCGAAAAAAAGAACCAAGCTTTAAAAGTTTACATAAGGCCAAACTAAAGAAGGTGTGTGGTTCGACTAACATGGACATTTTTTTTACGGGCGGGCGGGCGGATTTTTTTTTTAAATATATTTTTTAGTACATGTAAATACACTGTACTGCCTTTAGACACCCAGTACATCGGCATTATTACGCAGTGTTATGCCATACATGTTGTATAAAGGGATCACTGGCTAATACTTTGAAACATTGTGTAGCTCTGGAACGAGAAGAGAATAACTTCAAGCGGTGACTCTGACTGTCCAAATCATCAAGCAAATGAAGAACGATGCGAGTTGAAAGTAAGTTCGGGAACTACTTCGAAGTACAAATTGTACAATGTACCGGTACATGTATTGCTAGTTTGGTGTCGGCGTGCACGAATACATGGGCTTTTTCCATCGACGCTTCCTGTGCTTGCACACATGGAGCAGCAACTAACTTACCGGTACAGGTGAAATATCGTTCCCAATACACGAGGAAAGTGCAATCTCGTCTGTCCTTCATCCCAAAACAGAAGGCCGTCCTTAATCTGGAACGAGGCAATCACTCTCAACCGGACGGTCACTTCAAAAATTAGTCTCGCCAGTCTGCCGGTGGTCGTATCGAGTAGACTCTACTACCACAGTGGTACGACTGCTGCCTTGTGCTGGTAGTCTACCAGCACAAGGCAGCAGTCGTACCACTCACTGCACTGCACTGCAGTACAACTACAAGTCAAGTCCAAAAGGAGCCGCCTGCGTCCGCAGTGTACTAGTGTACTCACGCTGCACAGCACGTAGACGTGGACGTGTTCAGTCCACGTACGTCAGTCACACGACAGCCCGCCGAAAAAAAGTTACGGTCGGGGTGAAAAATGTACGGTCGGTCGGGTGAGTCGAACCACACACCTTCTTTAGTTTGGCCTACCGTATTATCTCTAATATAAGCACAGTCTCCAATAATAGCACGTCTCCAATAATAGAACACCTTGGGGCGGCATTCAAAAAATAAAGTGCTCAGTCTCCATTATAAGCACACTGTGTAAATTCATTATCTGTACCGGCGAAAAAAACCCTGAAATGTGTGTGTCATACATGAATTTGGCATGGCAACATGCCTCTGAAATGAGGTTGAAATAATAATGGAACAGTCTCCAATAAAGGAACGTCTCCAATAATACTTAATAGCACGGGGCGGAGGTACATTGAAAAAATAAAGGACCGTGCTTATATTAGAGATAATACGGTAATTTTAGTTTGCTTCGGATGTCGATTGTATAGGCAATGCGCTCTGTGTCTGAATCATCCACTTCACAATGGTGCTGGTGGTGGGAAAATCTCCAAGTGACCTGGAGATTGTTTACGAACGTGAAGTCCTGCGTCAAGTCCTTGTGCGAGCTCTACTCGCTGTCAGCAACGTCGCTACAAATATGTTCAACTGTGCGGCCTCACGAGACTGGCCGACGATTGTGAGCTTGTCACTGCGCTACAAATACGGAGGTAGCTTCGCTCCATCTCCTTCTGTGACAAGTTCAAGTTCAGGCTTTGACGGGTGGCACGGAGCGCACTGCCTTCGACAGCTACTTCGAAGAAAGAATGATTTGGACGTCGCAGCGATCAATTCGACATGTCGCTAGAGCACTCTGGACTTGCTGTCATTGAATCCGCTCGACGGTCCGCCAAGAAGTATGGTGGAACAACTCGAGATGAGAGTCTGGCGACAAGCGACAGTAGTCAAGAAGAAAAAAAATGTGGAGCCGGTTGCGTTCAGAAGAGGGGCGAAGGACAAAGATCTAGACGACGATTTCCAAGGCTGTTGAAGATCTAAACAAAGATATCCTGGGCTGAAGTGCGGAGTGCGGAACCGGAGTCACGGCGGCGGATCATGAGTTGATAGAGGAGTTGTGGTTGAATCGTTGATGGTGACACGCTGGGTGTGCAATGATGAAACAAGTTCAAGATGTTTACCGGAGGCTATTGCTGCTGGCCACGTTGATTGTGGGTGGTAAGTTAACGTTACGTTGTATTGCTTGAAATAAGCATGATGGGATTCCTGGCATGCTGCTGTAGACCGGTAATTTGTTAGCGCATGATTGGATTGTGGTGCACTGAAGTACTGAGGGTGGAAACATGCAAAATTCTGATGCAAGTTTGTAGAAAAATGAGGTTGCGTTTACTGGTCATTTCGGCTGCAGCAGGTAGAGTGTATGTTCATGCGCACTAACGAAGTAACACCTGTCAATACAAGATCCACATTAAATTTTATAATCAAGGCTATGATTAAAATAAGATGTGCCTTCATCGCCAAACACACATCACAAGGAAGTCCAATGTAAAGTATCCGTAACGTCTTCTCGCTTCTTTCGTTTACTGTCCATTGGACTATGTCACCTCCTTGTGATGTGTGCCTGGTGATGACAGCACATCTAATCGTATTCATAGCCTTGATTAAATTAGTCAATACTGTCTCCGTGTTGCTAATACAGAACTAAGTCTTGTTTTGGCCACCCCCACCGCCCCGCCAATAATCCGATGGTGTTTTGCATGTTATCTTGTTGTACTTGTACGCATAGCAGTATAGCATGTTGCACGTACTACAGTGTGCACTGCCTGATGTTTTGCGAACCAATGCTGCAGATACGGGTCAAAACCTGTCACCCTGTTTTTTTTCCCGATGCCGGACATATGCGTCGTGCAAATGTGCATGCTTGTAAGGCACATTCTAGAGCACACACAATATTGTAGAATGCAGGCTAGTGAAGGCTATGATATGGACAGAGGTCAGTGCCGTCGACTGAACACAAACACCAGTACGTTTATGTTACTAACCAGAAAGAAAAGTCAGACAGGAATAAAATATCTTTGCCTGTGAAACTTTCCGAACACACAAAATTCATCTGTAAGAGTTCCACAGTACATGTAGTGGCTGTAGTACAGTACATGTAGTGGCTGTAGCACAGTACATGTAGTGGCTGTAGACTAGTACAGTACATGTAGTGGCTGTAGACTAGTACATGTAGTGGCTGTAGCACAGTACATGTAGTGGCTGTAGCACAGTAGAGGAGACGGCTCGATACCGGGACGTTTTGACAGCCAAATTTGTATAGACCCAAACCGATCATCAGCGTTGATTTTTCACTCGAAATATGTTTGTGGAAGGAAACTGGCATGTTGAAGTTTGCTCTGGGGCCAGAGTCAATCGAACTGAGCCACTCCTTTGTGTTGACCCATTGCCTCCAAGTTGCCCAATTTTTCGCTTCAAAAAAGTTCAAATCAGAGGTGGCTCCAAACCGGACACGTTTTAGAGTGCACGTCAAATTCACTCTGGGTCTGAAATTAGGTAATTGCTATCGCTCCACGACGGCCAGTATAGAGTAACAATAAGCCTTGTGTGTGCTTCCATTAGTTTTGATTGGTATGCGGTGCTTTATTGGCGAGAGGCGAGCCGCTGTTTACCTGCGACAAGAAGTTGATTTTTCGAAAGTCGTAAAACTCAAGTCGCAGTGCGAAGCAACACGTCAAAAACTCACCTGCTTGATATGGCGCTTCTGGTCATCGCAGAGCCATGAAATTTTGGCTCGGAGTATAACACATAGTAGTCTCACTGTGACATATGTTTTCTAATCAAAATACCAAGAGAGAAAGTGAATATTGAGTCCGTTCCGGTTTGCAACCGGTGTCCTATTTGAAACCGTCCCCTCTACATGTAGTGGCTGTAGCACAGTACATGTAGTGGCTGTAGACTAGTACAGTACATGTAGTGGCTGTAGTACAGTACATGTAGTGGCTGTAGTACAGTACATGTCAGTATGCATGGGTACAATTGCATACCGGAATGAGGGTAACATGGATGCAGCTCGGGAGGCTCCCCCCTCCCCCCCCCCCCCCCTCTTGTCTGCTGGGTACTGGTTGTGAGACTTACCACCTCGCCCTCACCGCTAGGCACTCACAGCCCTATAAAATTGTCTGAATGCCTAACTCCTCGCGCCCCTAACATCTCACACCTGATTAGTCCTTCTTTAAACAAAATCCCAGAATGTGTAGTCACTGCTAGTGTTCTCCACACCACTGCCCCCCCCCCCCTTCCACTTCTCTGTTCACAGCGTAACACTTGCATTGTCACCCAGCACTGAGCTCAGCCACCTACAGAATGTTGTCCACACTACTGCTGTTGCTGTTGCTGCTGCTTGTCATTGCCATAGCACGTCAATAGTTCCGTGCAAAACTCTAGTTCTCCGCCTTTTTCTTTTAGCGCTTGCTGAGGGCCTGGGAATATCTTGCTGTGATAGTTACAGCCCTGGTTCAGTTTGCTAGTTTGCCTGAAGGTCGATAGATCCGAGACACTCTGAGTGGTGAGGGTACAATTGATTCCATTCTATGTGCTAGCCCCAGTGCATCCCACCCAGAACAGTTGAGCACTCTCTGCGGTGGAAGGGCTCACTTCTCCTTTCTAGATAAGAGTTCTGTGAGTTTACACATATTCGGCGTCTACCTATTTTCGGCTATTCTCGGCCTGGTCGTATTTGGCCAAAAATTTGTTGCGGTCGAACGTTTGTTTTGCAAGGTTCAGTGTGACAGTGTATGCAAGATATAGCAGTATAGGCCAAAAATGTAATGCGGCCGAAATGTGTTTAGCCCTGGGAGGCCGGAATTTGAATGGGCTGAAAATTAGTACACTAACACGACTGTTATCAATGATGGTCATTAATAATAGCTTGTGCCTTTCCCAGGTATACACACATTATACTATGTTCTACCTCTATATTTGCCTGTATACAGCCCGAGCAACATGCAATGCCATTGGTGGGACGCCAACACAGGATGGAACCGTTCTAAAGGGAGAGAGCGGTGCGTCTAAGTTTACCTGGATACTGCCCACGTACAGTATAACACAGTGCAACGTGAAGATGTTGGGATTTGAAGTCATCCACTCAAGTACTTCAAACTGTAATTTCGTTGTGTCAGTCTGGAACCGTGATACACAGGGGATAAAGCCGAATGAGTACATACTAGAGTACGTGGCACCCACTGTGCCCATGCCTGCTGCATCCGGTGCCACACTGTTCAGCTATAACTACACAAGCAGTACCAGGCGAACATTTCGCTATTCCAAGACAGTGTTCATTGGCATCACCACGAAGCAGTCAGCATGCCGTGTATTGGGAAGCTCTACATCAGCAGACGGTGCGAGATATGCAGACGGAGAATACAAGCTACCTGGAGTTACAAACAAACATGATTTTGTAGAAATAACGAGAACTGATGTGTCACTACGTGTGCTCACGGAAGGTAGGTATATCTCTCTTTATATCTATGTATCTCTCTCTCTCTCTCTCTCTCTCTCTCTCTCTCTCTCTCTCTGTATCCCTCTCCTTCTCTTTCTCTCCCTCTCTATCTATCTCTATCACTATCTCTATCTCTCTCTATCTTTATCGCTATCTCTCTATCTCTCTCTATCTCTTTCTATCTCTCTCTATCTCTCTCTCTCTGTCCCTCTGTCTCCCTCTTTCTATCTATCCATCTATCTATCTATCTATCTGCCTGTCTCTCTGTCTCTCTGTCCCTCTCTGTCCCTCCCTCCCTTTCTCCCTGCCTCCCTCTTTCTCTCTGTCTTCCTTTCTGTCTCTCTGTCTTCCTTTCTGTCTCTCTGTCTCTCTGTAACTCGCTATGCACAGAGGTCACATTGTTTTGCACGGACCTCTCATCCATAAGTTAGGTACAGAGCTCATACGGGTATCCGCACAGCTAACTCGTCATGCATGGAGCTCACATCTTTATGCACAGAGCCCACCTTGTCATGCACACGGCTCACATCTGTGAAAACCAAACAGCCTACTTCCAAGCACATTGTAAAATGTTTCCTTGATTCTACTGACTATGGATAGGTGATGCATGGCACATAATCTCGTTATGTTTTTCAATTCCTATTCCTTTTCAGATATCGACGAGTGCGCAGCCACCCCATCCCTGTGTACATCCTACACAAACAATGTGTGTAGTAATACATTTGGATCATACAGTTGTGTATGTAAGAGTGGATACAGTGGAACGGGTGGTGCTTCTGGTACTTGTAGTAATGTAAACGAGTGTTCCAGCAGCAGCAGCAATGACTGTAATCTGTACAGTAACACGGAGTGCTCCGATACTGTCGGCTCATATCAATGTCCCTGTAAGACTGGTTATAGTCCTGTGTCTACAATAGCACAACCATCAGCTTGCCGGAATATCGATGAATGCAGTACATCGTCATCATCATTGTGTCCATCAACCAAGATATGCGTGGATACCCCAGGCTCGTATATTTGCCAAGGTGAGTAATTAATTGAACAATGACGAGTTTTAGCGTCAAGAAAATCGAATTTGAGTTCGTGTAGTAGACTTTTTGGTTCCTGAACAGCAATGCACACTTTAGCATTGTTGATCCATAATGGCAGTTGGAATGCAAATCGCAGTCTAGAACCTGATGAATTTACTTCATCGATTTGTCTGTTCATATATATTTCCTGTCGACGTCATGCACGCACGGATTCTGTTTGCCAATCCTTTCCACATCATGAATTTTGGCACTGAGTGCGCGAACTCGAACATGAAATTCATCACGCCAAACCTCCAATCTTCTAGTGGATGTGGTGTACGTCCTAGTGTTCACATTAGCCAAGGCATTTCTACGCATTCAACCTCGGACTGCAAAAATCTCTTTGCTGGCTACTATGTCTGCTTGCAGCAATAATGGCGTACAGTACGGTCGGGCGCTGAAGAACGACCAGGCTAGAATTTCACCAAGCACAGCATAGCTGAATGTATACACGGTGACTTAACTGTGCATAGACTGTACAGCATAGCAATGTATACACGGTGACTTAACTGTGCATAGACTGTACAGCATAGCAATGTATACACGGTGACTCAACTGTGCATAGACTGTACAGCATAGCAATGTATACACGGTGACTTAAAGGGGAACTCCACGAAAAAATGAAAATTTGATAGCCTGTAGAGTTTCGGGCGCTGAGTCGAATGGTCTTGGTCCGAAGTCTCTACGAGAAAGCGTTCTTGAGATATTTCAATTTTAGCCACGCCCCATACCAATGTATGTGTGACGTCATTGTGGCAATGTGCGAAAATACTTGGATTTTGAATCTCACTTTCTTCAGGACGAAAGTCACTTCAGAAAGTAGTTTGCCAAGTCGCCTGAGCCGCTGCAATGCCAAATTGTTGTGTTGTTGATTGTGCCAGTATCACATCATCCTCCTGGGGTTAGTTTTCTCAAATTCCCAAAGGATGGAGACCTGGCAAAGCGCCGAGATGTTGCAATGCGTCGTGAAAATTTCAAGCCTATTTTCGCAGCACGAGCTATGTTTGCTCGCTGCATTTATGATCCAGAGGGACTTGAGAGCTGAGTTTTGACGAGTACGCCGTCCAGGAAAGCCCTCATCAGTGTACCAGTGCCCTCCGAACCGTGAGCCTCCAGCAAAGCGAACTCAACAAGCTGCAACTGAGAAAGCAGGGCGAGATACGTCCCATCAGGATCAGAAGAGTACATCACCCCATCAACTCCGACTGCAGCTAGCTGATGAACGATATTACCCCAGTAACTTTGCGCATACCAGTACTCAAACTGTGCACATCTGTCATCAACTGGGACGCAAACAGACAGACCCCCAGCAAGTACGAAGGTTACAGAACTGTTTGCTTGCGATGTGCAGGCAGCATGCACGACGAACTGTCTCACCAATCCTGCCAAACTGAACCAGTGTAAGTTGATTGCGTGGATATGTCTCTATTTATAACAGCTACCCTACTTCTAGGCATGGTTGCATGAATACCATATCACTCAGAGCAGTTGTTAGAAGTCTGGACAGCCTAGGAATAGTGCAAGTAAAGTGAAACAAAAATATATTACACTCCGAGTTCCACGCTTGCGGGATCACCAGGCCAAAAAAAATCTAATTTCGAACAAGGAATGGGTTCTGGTTGTATGCGAAAGAAAAGTAAGTGAAGACCTATTGTGCAAGGAATACAGTGGGAACTACACATATTATACACATGCACTCACACCATCACCCACATGCGCGCGCGTGCGTGTGCGTGCACATACACAAACACAACAACACACACACATACGCACCCACATACTCAAACTCACTCGCACGCACGCTAGCCTAAGGATAGTACATATGCTGTAGTAGTGGTATACTTAGTGAAATGACTATGTGTACATCTAATGACGCCGCCACTCCACGCCAGAAGACAACAAACATCTGCTGCAACATTTGTGCTCCCGTCTCTTATGGGCAACACAGTGAATGAAACGAACAATGCAATTGAGAACAAGAGTCGTCCTGTACGGTGAAGTTTCCATTTTCTCATACAGCAGTATATTGTCTAAGCAAGTGTGTTTTCTCCACATTCTTTTTGCCATGCAGGTATATCACAGTGTCCTGCCAAACTACATTCTCAAACGCATTCGTTTCTCAATTCTGGGGATGATTGGACACGCACATCTCGCAGCTCTTGACGACGTCAATGTCAACCGTCGCCACAGCACAACCAAAAAGACCGCGATAGGAAGGTATAAAGTCCAGTTCTCAAAGCATAAAGAAGACTGTGGCCAAATAGAAAATTATACGACAGAAAGAGCTATGAGTATGTTGACAAGCTCATGTGTGAGGTGGTAGCGGTTGCAAATGGCAACCTCCATGTTCCTGCCTTGGAGAAGCGTGTTTCTCTGCCAAATTCCAGGTGGAAGCCTCCTGAGAAGGCTGAGGTGGTGCAGGATTTGGATATCTTTGCCTGATGGTATTCACAACGCAGGCTGGAAGACGACAACGAACGTGCTTGCCCAATTTGCCGTGTACATAGTGTGTACTGCCTGTGTGCCGCATAGCGTAAAGATCTACACAAACACAGAATGTCATATGGAATGTGTATGATGAGTGCTTGTACACATACCACATTGCTGTACCGTAATAATTATTATAGTCAAATACTCATTTACTCTACATATGCGCTGTATTGCACCTACCGGTACCTACCTGCACTTTCAGTGCGCGCGCCATACTAATTTAGTGTCCACTGGTACAAAGATGGAGGGTCTTGTAGAATTTACCATAATTGCTGATTTCAAATTGAATTCCAATGACCTGGGGGATGAATACTGATTAGGACGCATTCGATTACCTACTAGTACAGAGATGTCTTGGTCAGAAAGTACAGATTTCTTACTCTCCTGCCAGAATTTGTGCATTATTTTGGTGTACGCTTTCTTGACCCCACGCTTGTACGTTGCATGCCATGGTATACTAGAAAACGAGTTTATTGACAAAGTCTATCGCTTGAAACGATAAAGTATGGGTTTGGGTGTGATCAAATGCACCCATGGTGCTCATAAACTGTGTGCAGTGCTCTCTTCACCAACAGAACACTACCTACCATACTTTGTAGATCTTGTACCAATCCAAGGGAAAATGACAAAGACAAATGTGAGTCATGCATGAAAACTTGTGATAGCACGGTCTATAGTACAGAACAACGTTGTTCGTGCTATGCCTGACAACAATAATTAGTTACACACAAAACATTACGCGCATCGATCCTCACAAGATAAGTCAAGACATACTCGGAGCAAAGAGAAATTTGTTTGTGTCATGCATGAAACTTGTGATAACTACCAGTACAATGTCTTTCTTGTGCGACGCCTACTGTAGTGCGCCTGACAACAATAAATTTCCCCCAAAAAATAAGAATAAGTGTATCATGCTGATACGCGATCCTCACAAGACAAGTCAAGGCAAACTAATTGAGGCTTACCTAATGTCAGACTATTCTGTCACTGGCATTGGCGGCTTCTGCATGTCGAGATAACCTCGAAGAGCAGTGATGAGCACAGCCTAATGCAAGGATACGATCTCGTAATCTGCGAGGTCCGCTACGCAAGAAACCTTGGGCCGTCTTGTCGACAGCGACGGCAGCATCCTACCAGCAAAATCATTCCCGCGGGCTGGGCATGGCTATACACTTTTGTCCACGCTCGCACCAGTCGGAGTCCCAAACGAATCGAGATTCTGGTGGCCAAGCTACTCGTCTTCTGTCGGACGCAGCTGCTGACGCATCTTCTTCCTCCACATTTGTTACACGCGATGGCAGCTCCTCAGCAGAGTATCTGGGCTCCCTGCCCCAACCATACGCGGCGGTGGGCTGTTGGTCGTCCTCACTGGCCTCAGCATCGCTGCCTTCATTGCTGGGGACAGAGGATTGTTCGGAATCGCCCATCTTCCCTTGAAATACCAACTAAAATTAGTGCTTGTAGACTGGCGAAGAGAAACGACTTTGCCACAATGACGTAGGCAGCCCGTGATGATGTAACCAAATGGCCGCATGACGTCAGGGCGCGGCCCCCGTTTTTGCAATTTCAAAGTGAAACGTGGACCTTTTGCACCTGGAACGGCCCCGTAAACGCTGTCGTGTCGGCGGAGTGAATGTGCAGGGTACTAGGGTGAAAAGAATTGCTGCAAAGACGTCCCCTCTACTACAATGTAGGCTCTAGTCTAGGCCTTTGCCTTTGGAGACATGGCGAACTGAATGCGCAGGGCGAAAAGAATTGCTGCAAAGACGTCCGCTCTAGGCCTTTGGAGACATCGTGGGAACTCCTTCCGGTACTATACAAACTGCTGACGTGGCCGTGGACATGTACATGGAGAGTCATGGTGGGACTTCATGTACATGGATACATGGTGGGAATTCCTTCCGGCACCCCCGTACCGCAAAGCCAACGGTGGGGAAGGAGAAGTGCAGACGTGCAGGAAGACGAACGAGGAGGAACCAGGACGAGCGAGCAATGGCAGGACTAGCTGGACCGTAAGTAATAGCTGAATTGTGCATGACAACTTGACATCCATGCGGCACTCGCCACTTGCCACTGCATATTTCTTGTCCACTAACAATGTCTCTCCTCTGCCCCCTGTGTGTCCACGGCCCTGTTGCTGAATTGGCCCGATGAATCGAATGTCTTCCGCAACTGGAACGGCCCCGTGAACGCTGTCGCGTCGGCGACTGAATGCGCAGGAGGGAAAATATTGCTGCGAAGACGTCTCCTCTAGACGACGGTAAGGCACCCCATTGATATGTTGCCAGTGTGTGCCAGGGTATCGCGCGATGGTGAATGAGGAATGATGAAGGGTACGGTGGGACTGTAGACCTGTTACCTTCTACTAACACGTTATCAGGTGGAGAGTGTCTTGTACTCACGTTATCAGGTCGAGAGCGTATTGTAGTCACTCTCTCTATTCCTGTACTTCATTACGTTTTTAAAGGTGTACGTATAACTTCTCAAA